AGCGCATTGCTTTAGGCTTGCCATGACCAAAAAAAGCTGGAAAAATTAAAAATAAAAAACATAAATATATATTGCTGGAGATGATTTGTGTTACAGTTTCTCAGAATGACTTTCCTTTTTATATTCTCATATGCATCCAGCAGGCCTAGATAAACATTCTGGTGAATTATGGCTTGATTTCCTCGATATTACTGTTTATACTGAAATGAGAAGTCTAGTGTGGACTATGAGGTGACTGGTGCTTCCCGTCATTTGGTGGAGGCGATGTCAGTGGAGGCCCAGTAGGAGGCGCTCTCAGCTGTATATGAGTCCAGGTATTTACCCCAGCAGAAAACGCTGTGGTTCTTCCCAGCATACCAGCAACCAGACCTCAACCAGCATACGCAGAATAAATCAGAAAGGCCTTCTTCCTGGATACTCCCTCTACTTCTGCCTCTCTCTAGTACTGGGAGGGGCACATGCTTATTACAGGGCTTAATTTATTATTATTTTTTTAAAACTTTGTCTATAAAAAGGGAGGGTGCGCTTTGTCACATACTGTTTTCTGAGTGTCGAGCTTTCTTAGAACGTGCCACCTAAGGAGTTTATACGATCAAAATAAACAAGACAAAGAAACTGCAGCTTCTGTAACTGTCTGGAGAGTCCCTTGACCACAGGATCTATGTTTAGCAACGGTAGCGACGCTGGTAGTTTGGCCACATCCCAACCTGCCACCAGGCCCTTTGTAACTGCCGATGGATGTGAGGGTTGGCCTGGCTCTCCGTGGAGGGGAGACCTCATACCGGCTTCCTGTCCCCGAGCGCCGCACCCCACGGGGGCTTCTGGTGTGCGACTCCACGCCGCCCGAAGGGAAGCGAAACCCAGCGAGTCCATTCAGTTGTGCAACGCTCCCGTGAAGGCCTTTTCAGAGCGAGCTCCCGTCCGCGCGGGAAGACTCAGTGGTGCCGCTCTTTGCTTTTCTTTCTGCCATAGATGGAGTGAATGGCGTAGGGATGCCACCCTACTGGGCTATCTGTGGTCTTGGGGGGTGGGGGGGGGGGATCTGTTGATTTAGACCCCTTTGTGAGTATGCTTTGTCAAAATGGCTGCTGAATTCCAGAAGCATTAACTGTTCGCAATGAAAATGAACAGGGGGGGATATTTTTGGAGGTTAGTGCTGTCGTCATTTCAGTCCAGGCCATGCCAGGGATCATGTTTTTGCTCTCCAGCGGGCAGCTCAGAGTGAGGATTTGAAATTTGGTGAGCAGTCATGCTCTGATGGGGGCGTAAGGGAGGGATTTGACCTACCTATCCCGCCTTCGTTATAGCGGTGAACGTGCTCCGCTGGCCTCTGGTATTCATTATAAGGCATTAAAATGGGTGTGAAAAGTGAACACATCCCATCGTTATCAAGAGGGAAATCTGTGTGTGCTTGTTTGTCGCTTGTGGAGCAAGGAGTGACATCTTTTGGACTGAGGTCAATGCACTGCCGTTAGTTATTAGAGAGAAGGTCCTGTTTTTCTCAGACTAATAAACTCACGGCTGACCAGTCAGCTTCAGTTGTACCAGATACAAGTCACTGCAGAGTGGTTTGGCTACCTTTCAGATGTAATAAAACACACTTTAATACTTCCTTCCTTCTGTATGTCTGTGTGTCTGTCACACCTCTGTGAGATGTTACCTAAGCCGATGTCAGCCGCTGTACCAGGAAAGCCTGAAAAAGGTGGAGGAACCTCTTGGTCTTTTTTGTTTGAACCCTAAACATCACACTTGTTTTTTTTTATTTTTAGGTATGTCAGTAATAACACAAAGTCTTATATTTGTCTGAAACTGTATGCATTTACCTTTAAAAATGTAATTTAAATGTAATTTAGAAATGTACCCATGGGCAGGTCAGGGTCAGCCTGGACCCCAGGAATCACAGGTCACATGACAGGAAGCCATCCAGATGGGACACCGATCCATTATAGCACTGAAAGGGACAAAATGGAAAAGGTTAATGAAAAGTCTCTCTGGTGCACGGGTGTGTTTTCATCAGCTATGCACAGCTCTGTGTGTTTGAAGAGGTCCAGGCCGTCCATTCATGGCTGTGAGATAAGGAAGTGTTCTCATTTTCTGCTATTGGTATGTCTGTCCACCCCCCACCCCCAAATCACAGCTTGCGTTTCTTCATTCATCAATTTTTTTTTCCTTATTGTGTGCTACTTGCTGTGTTTTACACCAGCGTCCTGCGCAAGTCTCCCAAGGTGCGGGTGATTGCTGAGGGGGAAGAATTATACATGTAAGATGTACTGAAGGGCAGAGTCAGGTCTGGGTGAGACTGAGTAATAAACATAAGATGTACTGAAGGGCAGAGCTGGGTTGTGGTGCGAGTGAGTAATAAACATAAGATGTACTGAAGGGCAGAGTCAGGTCTGAGTGAGACTGAGTAATAAACGTAAGATGTACTGAAGTGCAGAGCCGGGTTGGGGTCAGAGTGAGTAATTAACACAAGATGTACTGAAAAGCAAAGCCGGGTCAGGGTGAGACTGAGTAATAAACATAAGATGTACTGAAGGGCAGAGTCGGGTTGCAGTGAGAGTGAGTAATAGTGGTGTTATGACCTACTGAGCTCACGATTCAGTACACTTTACGATGCACAGCCCAAGATTCGCTGCACTTCACCAAATTTCTAACTAGTGTAATTTCAGTCAGATGTCTTGGACTCACCTCCTCTACAATGACTGGTTTTCTCTGAACCAATCATTTTTCATTCTGCCCTTACATTTTTGTGTAAGTAAAACTTCCATGAGCTATTTGCTTGGCAGCACAGCATAGACTGACATTGGAGCTGTCCTGCCAAATCTCTTCTCCTATCCAAATGTCTTCCTCCGTTGGCTGTAATGCCGAATCTCTGGCAATAAATGTAAGATGTACTGAAGGGCAGAGCCGGGTCGGGATTGGGGACAGCTCATCATCTGTGAGCCTGAGCACCTTGTGTAGCAGGTAGCTATCGTGTTCTCCTCATGTCACTGAGGCAACACAACTGACTTAGTCTCGGGGATCCGAGAACCATGGGCTGTCCTTGTGCACGCAGGCATGGATTCGCACTCACGGCCATAGTACCTCAGTGCTCATTGCCAGTGTGGACGGCAAAGTGTGACTCACCTTTGTGGAGTCACTCAGATCGCACTAGGCACAATGGCCTGTATTACACACTCTCCACCACCATTGTTGTCACTTCTTCCTTCCTTTGCTTTATGCCCTTGTGCTCTGACGTGCTCTCTCTCTGTCACACTTTCTTGTAGGGCAGTTGTCACCCAAGCTCAGCTCAGTGAACTCAGTTTCTATTTAAAGATTTGCGGCACGTTGGACTGCTCAGCTCTTAGCCGCGCAGGCCTGAGGAAGCCTGTGCGCGACTGTGCCGATACACGCCGCTGGCGGCTCCGCACGACGCAGCACGACGCAAACGGCTGTGTCCGCCTGCCTGGCCTCATTTCGCATTCTTTGATAAGATGGCCATCATCGTCCTCATCATCTTGTAGTTTAGTGTGCAGCGTCGTGGCCTTGTTGCTCCAGGTATATTTAGTGTGTGTAATTGGATAATGTTTCTGGGCTGAAATAGCCAGAGCATCACGGTGCAGTTACTAGATAGGTCTGCGTTTTGTTGCATTACACCGGCTTACATTCTCGGGCATGTGCTCGAGGCAGCTTGCCGTCGTACGTGAAGTAAGACTGCCTCAGACTGAGATCTGGATAGTGGACCAGTTCACCAGGCTGAGCAGTGACGTCACGCCTTGCGAAAGCACGTGCTGTGACCCATTAATGTCTCACTCTCTTCCTCCTGAAGCAACGGAAGTTCAGCTCCAGAATCTGGTGCAGCTACCAAGAAACTCTACGTCAAAAAAGAAAACCTGAGTCGCGCAGAGTTACTGGTGAAGTTCTCGAGGTTTTTCATTGGCCATTTATTAAACTGGTTTGACTGCATCTTGCATGAGTATGCAAATTAAATTTTTTAAATCAAATGCAAGTTTAATTTTTAATGTTACCCACTTCCTACCATATGCATTCTGACGTTATAGATAGTGTTTTCTCATGGGATTTTTCTTGAGGTCCCCCATTCTGTTTGATAACTTAAGTATATGTAAACATTTGTAGCATTTGGAATTCAAAGGCTATCCAACCTATATTATCATGAAGCATTCTAATGCTCCTGATAAAGAGCTTGAGTGATCATTTTAACCAAAATATCCTATTGTCCTTTACTGCCCCCTAGTGGTTCAGATATGGGCTCAATTTGTTCGTCAGTTGGTCCATGATCCATCCAGCCCCGAACTAGACTGGCCATCTCAGATACTGGGCATTTTCCTAGTGGGCCAGTGGGTTTGTGGGGACACTGCTTTTTTTTTTTTATCACAGTCCATCCATTCATCCATCCATCCATATATCGAACCACCCATCTACTAACATTTATCCTGATCAGTGGCAATTTGTCACTATTTTCAGCATTTTTTAAAATAATATATTATTCCTGATGTAATAGAGAATGTGGTTTGTTAAAGTGAAAACAGTACCATCCATATATCCAACCATCCATCTACGGTAACACTTGAAGCAGTCTGCATAAGGGTGACATATAACCGCCGTCCAAAAACTAATATATACTAATATATACTAATATCCTGATCAGTGGCAATTTGTCACTATTTTGAGCATTTTTTATAATAATATATTATTCCTGATGTAATAGAGAATGTGGTTTGTTAAAGTGAAAACAGTACACTTTATACTACTCCATATGCCGTGAATGGTATTCCACACATCAGTGTGCTACCTCCTGTCTATATATATATTGATTTTATTGACTCTATACGTAAGTTCTGTACCTCCTCATTTCAAACTCTCTCCCACGCCCTTGCTCACGCTTATAAGCTTAATGTGGCATCACAGGGGGATTCGCCGTGTCCTCCGCATCCTGACATGGAATTCTCTGCTTCATTGGGTAATACATTTCCTGTATTTTGTTTCCTTGTCTGCTGTAGGGCAGTGAAGATGCACAGCAATACCACCTACTCACCCCCAACTGATGCTATAGGCACCGGGTGAGAGGGGGGAAATTCACATTCAGGGCGATCAGAGGAGCTCCCATCTGTAGACTCGCAAGATACCTGCAGATTCAAAGGTACATTTCCCTCTGTGTGCTAAAAATCGACAATGTTATGGAATGTTCCGGTGTGCATGATGCAGTTAGGCATATGCATTCATTAACTGCTAGCAAACCCTTGTAGCGTAACTGCCTGACTATCTCTCTGATGTGTGGGTGCAGGTTTGCAGCTGAGGTGCACCGTCGGTCCACTCAGCCCCTCTGAGCGCAACCCAGCCCCTCCCCCCGACATCCCGCACGCAGCTCCAGCACCACGCAAAGCCTGGAGGGGGGGGCAGCCCCAGCCATCTCCCCATGGCAGCGGCACACTAGGGCTGCCATGGCAGCAGGCACCGCCGATGCCCCACGCCAGCATACCGCACTGAGCCCGGAGGACGAGGAACGACGAGCCGCCGCCAAGCTTTTCCGAGGCAGACCGCCGCTGGGCAGAGAGAGCAAGAGCGACAGAGAGAGAGAGGAGTGCGAGAGGCTGCGGGAGGGCCGCTTGGGCGGGAGCGAGTGTCCGGTGTGCGGGGCTCTCTTCGGCTCGCACGACCAGCTCCGCCTTCACGCCTTCTGCCATACCGGAGAGAAGCCCTTCCACTGCTTCCAGCCAAACTGTGGAAAGGCCTTTGTCTCCAAATACAAATTGTTCAGGTAATGTCCACGGCCCTCTGTGAAGTGGATGTGATCATCCGGGGTCTCCGGGTGCCAGGGTAACTGAGGCTGAAGCTAGCAGAGAAATTTATGACATGCACGTCTAACAGAAGGTCCTGGTCTCAGAAGGGCTCCTCTGTTGGATGCTTGGGAGACACACTTACCTAATGCTGCTCCACCACGTTATCCAGGAAATTGATTTAAATAAGGGTCAGCAACATAACTAAAGTAATGGTAACAATGAGAAATGGCCTCATAGATTTCTTGAGTATGCGACACAGTGATTTTCATTTAATCATGCTGCATGTATAAGAAGACAGTACTGTGTTTTACCAAATATTTGGGAGTTTTGTGTGTTTCATCCAGTCATTCCTGGATTCTCTCGTCAGCCCAAATTTCCAACAAACACTGCACTTCTGCTGTAAACCAGAGTGATCCCTTTGTCGCCATGTTTGTTAAATGTTTGTCACTACCTGATCTGTACAGCCTACCCGATCAGTTCCTTCCGGGTTTAGGTCACGTGTACATGTGGATATGCCTGTGCCAATTGCATCATTGACATCTTGTCTGTGTTCTGTGCTAGGGCATGGTACGCATCTAGGGTGCTTCTCAGTATGTGTACTTGACCCTACTTGTGTTCTTGTGTGCCAGTTTTACGTCATCTTCCATTGCCGAAGACCAGTTACAATACTAAGAACAGAAGTACAGAGGATGATAAAAATCCCTTTCTTGCCCCACCCCAAATATCAAGGATACATTAGTCGAATCCTCACCAAACAAGACCAATCCCATGATTTACGGTGCCCCAAGTTCATTTTTGGGCGGCATGTTAGCAAGACCGGTCTTGCCAAGAACACAAGTACGATCTTTGCGTTCTTGGTATTGAGAAACACCCCAGGTGACTGGGAGACAGTATCGCCAATCATGTTGTTGGTCTATCCCCTAGGCATATGGCCACACATTCTCCACAGAAGACCCACCAGTGCTTATTCTGTGATAAGATGTTTCACCGAAAAGATCACCTGAAGAACCACCTGCAGACCCACGACCCGAACAAGGAGGCCTTCAGGTGCGAGGAGTGTGGCAAGAACTACAACACCAAGCTGGGCTACAAGCGTCACGTGGCTATGCACGCGGCGACCAGCGGAGATCTCACCTGCAAGGTGTGCCTGCAGAGCTACGAGAGCACCCCCGAGCTGCTGGAGCACCTCAAGAGCCACTCGGGCAAGTCGTCCGGCGGCACCAAGGAAAAGAAGCACCCTTGCGACCACTGTGACCGGCGTTTCTACACACGCAAGGACGTACGCCGCCACATGGTGGTGCACACGGGCCGGAAGGACTTCCTGTGCCAATACTGCGCCCAGCGCTTCGGCCGGAAGGACCACTTGACGCGACATGTGAAGAAGAGCCACTCGCAGGAGCTGCTGAAGATCAAGACGGAGCCGCCTGACCTGCTCAGCCTTCTGGGCTCTGGGTCGCCTCCATGCGCTGTCAAGGAAGAGCTCAGTCCCATGATGTGCATGGGTTCCTCTAAGGACTCCATGCTGGGCAAGCCCTTCCCTGGAGCATTCCCCATGGGCATGTACAACCCCCACCTGCAGGCCATGTCCAACTCTGGGCCGCCTCACCACTCCCTGGTGTCGGGTCCTCTGTCCACCGCCATGGGGATGGGCTGCCACATGGAGTCCCCCTCCCCTCTTCACCACCATCATCACCACCATCACCATCATCACCACCACCACCATGCTTCCCCTTCATCCCAGCAGCAGCAACAGCAGCAGCAGCAACAGCATCCCCAGCCACCCCTTCCCAAGTACCAGCTTGGATCTACCTCATATCTACTGGAGAAGCCCCTGAAGGTGGAGATGGAGAGCTTCCTGATGGATCTGCAGAGTGGGCTGCCCGTGCCCCCGCAGGCTGACACCCTTGGCAGCTCCCCAGCTAAAGAGGGTCTCGAGCACCAGCAGGTGCTGCCAGATGATCTCGGCGGGGAGCACCTCCTGTCCAAAAGCCCGGCTGTCATTGCAGAGTCTCTGTGTGCTGCTAACATGGACTTCTCCCACCTGCTGAGCTTCCTGCCACTCAACCTGCCCCCCTACAATCCTCCCATGAGCGCTGGCGGCCTGGTCATGGGCTACTCCTCCTCAACCTCATCGACCTCCTCCTCGTCTTCCTCCCACATGGCCGATCCCCACGCTCCACCACATACCTCTTTGCAACCGCAACCTCAGGAGTCACAGGGCTCCGGCGGGGGCCTCGGCCTGGGGCCCCTGCACTCACTCCCTCCAGTGTTCAGCACCAGCCTCAGTGCCACCACTCTCCCTCGCTTCCACCAAGCCTTCCAGTGAGGGCCACACCTCCCTGGGGTCAGGGGTCGAAACACTTGAACACTTAGAAGCCTTAATTTAAGCGCACAAATGCTTATGATTGAGCCCAGAGAAAGCTAAACTAGACGTAAAGAACTTAAACGCGAATCGCTTTGATTTAGGCTTCCTCTCTACTGTTTGGTCGCCAGTCTGTTAATCCTTATCATCCAACTTCTTTCAAACACTCACTTTCCCCTCCCATATATATATGTCATAGTTGATTGGCATAATAAGTGAATCAGTAGGCATGGTACTGCAAGTTTGTTTTCTAGATAATAATAGAGGAAAGAAAGCTCAAACATTTTCTGTCCAGGAAATAGTTTTAATTGCATTAAGATTATTATACTTTTCCAAATATGAAATCAAAGCAGCTGCATTGTATCCTTCCACCTCGGTCCGTGTCCACATCTGGTTGTAGTTAACATGAAGCTAAAGAGGCTTTGCAGAGAGGCGTGAAAAATTAGTGAAGGAATGAAGTAACGACGTCAAGGCAAGCTATCTCACCTCAGAACGTGCCTTGCAAACTTTAACTTTGCGTAATCTGAGCAACATTTGCTCCTATGTACTCGAACATAACGCCTTTTATTCTTTAAACCAAATAACTGTAAGGAAATATCACATTTAAAACAGTTTTAGAACTGATAAAATAATATCAGGTACTATGAGCTGTCCTCTGTGGGGTTGTGTAGACCTCTTAACTGTGATAAATAGCTAAAATTAGATGCTACAGAACACAGCAGGAGTGCCTGTATATACACTCTTCTCAGGCCAGTGTGACAACAGGTTGACAGCAAGAGTAATTTTGTTCGTACAGTGCACTCGGGTGGTTTTATTACTAACGGTGCTGCACTGAATTGGAAATGATTGGCAGACCTTAAATAAAGCAGCGTTTACAGGTGTAAGAAAATCTGAATGCACTGCAAGTAAGCTTGTATAAATACAGCAGGTCTCTCTGCTGTTTCAAGTAGCGCAAATCCCAGTAATGGACAGGATGTGAAACTGTGAGTTTTGTTCTTGTAAAAAGAAGCACTTTTACATAAGGAGGCACTTCGACTGCTTGAATTGAATAAGAACCGCAGATCTCGTGTGACTGCCAATTATGCCGCTCAACGTCAAACATCTGGTTTATATACGAAAAACCCAACCGACCAAATAAACACAAACAGCCAAAAAGACAGTTTTAAAACTGCTCTCACACACAGGAACAAGTGCAAGCTTCAAAGAAAGTCCTGATTCCCAAAACTGTCTTTTTATTTTAATCATCAGTCTTCCTTCCAGCACTAATTTTTTAAAAACAGATTTTTTTTAACAGTATCTATGGTAACAGACCCCACTTCATGAACCCCCCCCCATGTTAATGTTCTTTTTTCAGATAAAAGCAAATGTTTTAGGCAGTTTTTAGATGCTCGTGGTAATAATAACCCTGACATATGTGAATAGTAAAGATAATGATGACAATTATGACATTTTTGCAGTGTACGAAATTCAACAATGAAAAATATATCTATATATATATATATATATAAATATATATATTTACACATTATGATTGCTTTTCATTAAAGGGTAAATTAGGTAGATATATTACAAGAAATTGCTGATATTTTTAAATGTCTGGCAGGTTTACATTTTGTGTCTTGCATTATACTGATCGAAAATGGATGAAGTATTAGCTTGCTTTATTAGCCTTGGTTTTGTCCTGTAGCTGTTCATACGTGTATGAGCTAAAATAGAGTTTTGGATTATAGGTTGACAAATACAACATAGTGGAATTATAAATTAGGACGGGCTCAGCAAAACAATGGATATAATGACCTATGTGTCACAATCTCTTTATTCCCCATTCGCTGACAACTTGGACACATTGGCCAATTTACACAGGTTGTTGGTTAATGTTTTCTAAATGCTTCCTTTCTGATTTTAAGCGACATTGTGCCCCTGACATAAACAGCCCTCTAATAAGTAAACACAACACGCGACGTTAATTTCTTTAGCAGATTTGTTGATGTGCCAGACTAGGAAGCACTGTTATTTGCTTTGTTCATACATTGACTCAAGACTGAAATGTCAGCCATGCCCGTATTTATATGGGATTGAAGAAGCTAGCTTATGACAGAACTGCTGCCCCTTCGTTGGTGTCACAGTGGCATATTTGTCCCCAGTCAGGTGACGTCCCTCATATCCCACCACAAAAAAAAAAAAAAAATCTGTTGCTGCTCTTCGCTATGGTTGTCATTAACTGTAGACCACTATTAAAAAAAAATAATAATTTAAAAAAAGGACTTTCAGTCTTGTGGAAACCAGGCTGAAAAGTTGTGCACATCTCTGTATCTCACATTGCTTGGTATCCATTAAGTAAGTAGCTGCTTCGTAGGTTCAAAGAAAAGAAGAACAAAGAGACATTGACTTGGTCTTTGACATTCAAAGCACGTGACGCCTCATAGGAATATTGCTTTTTTTTGTTTTATTTTTGGTTGTATTATATATATTTTCTTTACTGTTTATTGCAACAGGACCTCGTAACAACACAACGCATCACCTCATTAATTTGTTTCTTACCAAAAACCTGGGGAGAAGAAACTACAATTTGCACAATCGCTTATTTAAGTAATTCAGCAAGCATTTGGTCTTGCGATGAAATGTATTTTGTAATTCGGCAAAAAAAAAACACCATTCAACATGCACCAAAAGTGTCGTTCATAAGCATATCTGTACTTGGTCTTAAGCAATATTATTTGACATACAGTGTTATCACCTGAAACTGGAAAGTCATTTTGTAATTGAAAATGAAACCCAGGAAACTCATTCCTTTAGCTATCAGCTCCAAAATACTTAGCGGTCATATTTTTGACTGCAAATGTACATATTTGTAGTGTGAGTTTGGAGATCAGAATACAAGTAAGATCCCTGACACACTGAGAGATTGGAGAGATACTTGATTTCAGAAAACAGCGGGCATTTCACCTGCTTTCGTGTGCGTTGTTTACCTGACCAAAAAGATCCACTGGGGCTTCACTTTCAAAATGATTTGTTGATCATAAAATCCGAAGTTAGTACATCTATCCTGAATGATACTACGATTTAGGTGAAATATATATATATAAAAATATATATATTTCTTTCCTATTTACAATGCTGCCCTGAAATAATATAATGAATTAAACATGATTAATGATAACATAAGAGAATAATCATGAGATCAAATTATTTAATTTGAATGGTTTGTACTTGTTTTGAGTCAAATATAGTGCAGTATTTTTTATTTTTTTTAAAAGAATATTTATTTAAGAAAAAAAAGCTGTTATGTCGTTGGTCAGTTTTTCCTCCCTGGGTTTCTGTGAGCTTATCTGAATCTTAGCACTTTCAAACCTTTAAAAAGAGTATTTGTTTTCTTGTAAAATTCAATCGTGTTTATGTTTTAAATAGTGTAATTGATTTTGTTCATGTAATTGCCATTAGTTTGTGTAGATTTAATTAATCTTTGTATGTTTTAAGAATAACAGTATTTTGATAGACCTCACTAATATTTTTATTCGTTTCCCAGGCACCCCACCCCACCCCACCCCCAGAACATAGAGAACAAACTTTCTCTGAATTAACCATCAGAGCTCTGATAGTCGATAGCATGTTAGTGCCGTAAAAATTCATGATGTCACCCCAACATCTCCTACCATGAAACACTTCTTTTAAAATGGCTCATTCGATTGGCAGAATATATAATCTGCCATTAAAAAACACCCAAGAGTCATGTTTACAGAAATATGCCTCCTCAAGTATAAGAAGAGTATCTTTGATTTACAGATAAGTATTTAAAAACGTTGCAGGGTATATTCCCACCCTCATTGACGTCCTTTTCTGGTGTCTTTGGTAGAGAGTGTAACACTGAATGGAGGGTGCATTTTTGTTGTACAGCTCAACACTGAAAGAGAAACTTTCACAAATTTCATCTTATATTCTGTTCGCTCAGTCCATCATAAAAAAACCTTCAGTAATGAAAACTACCTTGACGCCCCTGCAGCCTTCAGTGATGTCCAGATGGGACAAAATCATGAAAATCAAACTTGAGACTGAAGGAGGTGTTAGAAGTAGCATAAAGAAGTGTTTCTTTGCCTGTCATATTGATAGGTCAAAGTTTTTAAGTGGAGGAGGGTCCTATCCCTGTACCCCCCACAGCACTGAATTCAGTGGCAGCATAAAACTTAGAGTGAAGTCAATTTGCAGAAGCTTGTACATTTCAGTCATGGTGCTGCGAGGGGACTGTAGATTCAGGGCTGATCCGTTACACTGTGCAGCCACTAGGTGTCCCCTCGCGATTCAGGCTAAACTTGGTGCAAACACCGTGCATGTTGAACTCTCACCTGCCCTGAGCTCTTGCGTTTCTTCTGGGGGGCATGAAGCACCTCTGCATCTATTACCTGTCGCAGTTCTGCTCAGTTTTCCAAGTCACTTCTAGGCCCGCACTTATCTCCTCAGTTTTCAGCAAGCTAGTAGGTGCAAACTTAAGGGAATAATTAGTACGTGCATCTGAGGAAGAATTAATGGAAGAAATTCATTTTTGCTTTACCGAGAAGCTGGGTACTGTCTAGTCAGGAAAACAAAAAAAATCCATGAGTAGTTTTATATATTTTTAGTAAAATGTAAGTCTTGCATTCCAAGCCTTGTATGTATCGTGAGTAACATAGCCTTTTACGTTTAGTGTCCTCCTTATTACTGCCACCGCTGGACAAAAGTGAAAAACAGAAAAATGAAATATTTGCATTCATCCTACACTATTTTTTTTATAGCATGAAGTTTATCAAGTACAGGGAGAATTGTACAAAAGTGCTTTGGTGACGTCTGCTTTTTTGTTACAGTTCACATGCAATCAGTTGCTGCAATGTAAAATGACAGATTTGTATATTGGTTAATCCAAAGAAAAGACCTTACAACAAACCTATTTACTTATTGTACAGTGCATTGTACCTTTGACTTGTTGTTAATGATTAAAAGACAACTACGGTTTCATAGTTTTGTCATATTTCGCTGATGCCTAAAAGCAGTAGAGTTTACCACACGTACACTTTCACAGCGAAGCTGTTCCCTTATGGAACGAGACTGCAAAACTATTTCTCTGCACTTTTATTGTTTCATACATTGTAGAACTGGACATTCTTAAAAGGGGGAAGGTTAAAAAAAATCATGCTGGCTGATATAAACAGTGATGTGTTTTGGTACATACAGCACCTAAGAACAGCTAAATGCCATAATACAAAGCGTTATTTACATTAATACACACATCCAGTGAACCACGCACACATACCCAGCAGGAAATGTCTGTGCGGATATGTATTTCTGATATCCACACCACAGATGTTAAATTTTTCAAATCATGGAATGAAGAGTACCCTTTCTTCTCAACGTCCATCTAAACAAAGCCCACAGGTGTACCACAACAGTGGTAAACTTAAACGCTGGTTTTAATCATGCCTGTTACGACTGATCAAAAGAAATGCAGTTCAAATGTAGATGTGATGCCTGCCAAATGGTTTTAAAGCTACACACAGAAAAGTGCCAGGTCAGACCTGTATTCTTCTGCAGCAAGCTAACTGGGATGTGGGTAAAGGACCGATGTGGTGCAAAGCTGGACCAGAGGGAATTACAGAACACCTGTGTAATTAAGGTGATCATGAAGCATTCAAACACATTAGGCTTCATTCCGATTGTGTCTTCAGGATATGTTATGTGCAGCACAAGGAATAAGGCCTGCAATTAATTAAATACATCTGTAAGCGATACTTTATGATAATTCACTACTCTCAACCAAAGCAGGTCCCTCATAGCAATTACCAGAAGAATCTTTCCTTCTTTAAGGAAAGGGAGGGGCAATGACAGCAGAAATGCAATTGCATAAAGTATACGAAGAAAAAGAAAGCGAAAACTAGATATTAAAGATGCAACATGGGTCACAAACCTGCCAGTACTAGGTCACTTACACCTTCCGCCCTACTCAAGGCGACCTCTGTGACCCCTAGCACAGTCATGGTTCACAGCACTCAGCATTTTCAATCTTCATGAGCGCAGCAGAATGTTCATGTCCCAGAATGCTTTGCAATAGTGCCAACGGTCAGTGACAAACACAGAAAATGGGTCAGCCAGTCTGCATCTCATTTCCTACTGACTGGCTGCGTGCTGAGCTCCGATATGGGCTTCCCTACAACACAGCATGCTGAGAGGGGGCTGCAGAACAATGCATGTGACTGTCGTCCATGTGGCACAGCCTTGGGATTCTGGGAAGTCCTACATTGTGCGCATCGAAGCAGAAGCTGATATGAACTCCGGGGGTTGGGGGGGGGCAAAAGAGGTTTTCCCAAAAAGCTCTGGAAAAGGGCACATTGCGGTAGTGTTTTCTGGAATCTAGCAACTTATTTTACATCAAAAATGTTATAAGAAATAAAATGTATATAAACAGCTTTGGTGATGTTGACTAGTCGGTTTGGAGGGGGGGGGGGGGGGGGGGGGGGGGGGGGGGGGGGGGTCAGCTTTAGGAAGAGTCCTTGTGATAACAGTCCAGTTTACAATAGATTAAAAAAATAATAATAAACTGAATTATTTTACAAAGTTTACTATCCAAACCAGCCAAGTAAACATTCCCTTTTAATGTATAGGACAAGGTACAACTCATCAAAGCCTGACTGTGTACTGGGTAGGACTGGGCCAATGTAATTGTGACTGACAAGCTTTCTGCCAAAGGAGCTCCTGTAAAGGAGCTACAATATAAAAGGAGAACACCTTTGCTATGCTAATGACCAGCGTTCTAAGGATAGACTTCATAACAGATGCAAAACAATATTGTATCAAAACATACTAGAAATATCAACATTCATCCAACATTAATTGCCATGGTATCTGCAGTAAGGAGCTTAGCCTACAGAGCTGAACATACAAGCATGAATAAGGAGTGTCAGTCCGTTCTATTTTTTGGCATTCGTTGATTAATTTGTTAAAGAGCTGCTTTGCTATTTATTACCAGACGTTGAAAGTGCTTCTGAGCAGAGTGCTTCCTGCAGTAACACTGACGTCTACTTGACTGCAAACCCAAGTGGAAAAAGCCAGTCTTATCCATGTACTCAACACAGCAGAAAATTGTATAGTCACTACAGTGTGCGTTATTGTCCCACTGATGTCAACTTGTCCTTCAGCCATTATAAAGAGCTGTTCTCCCTTACTCATTAGAAATATGTTAATTCTTTATCTAGGTTTAATATCAAAGTTTTCAACATATGAAACGCTCAAATTAAGAAAAAAAAAATCTGTCAAACCACGCATAATCTGATTAACAAAATTAAGCACATTGCACAAATTCATAGTGTCCCTTGTATTTGGATCCTTTAAGCCAAACCACGAGTCCCACAGAGACTCCAAGAGACAAAGTTCAACAAAGTGTACCTACTGGTGGTCTGCGGAACATTTTACATACTGTTGCAGTTAATGTGTTAAGACGAACAGCAAAAAACACATTTTCTTTTGAAAAGTAGTAGAGAAACTGTACAGCTGGGGAATTTCCTTACAGGTCAGAGGTCATTAGCCACTCAGGTGCTACAATACTTTGTGTCCATAGTAACAAATCTTTAAAAATGATTAACCTGTCTACCGCGATATTGTCATGTATAATCCCATTCATAATTACCCGCCACATCAAGACCACAAATTGTGCTCACAGCCAATCACCAGCTTCTAAACTACAAAATAAAAAAGTCCTAAAAAGTTAACTTAAAGGAAACAGGTTCACAACAGGTATCCTAAACCAATGTCCAGCATAAAGATGGATTTAGAAAAGAAAGTAAAATAAAATGAAATTCTGACATTTTGGCCCATGATTTGTGAACACGGGAAACACAGAGGACAAAGTCTCTAGTCCAGAACTCCTCTCCGTGTTTCTGGAGTTGAGGAAAGGGTCAACTCATGTTCCACAAGACACTTCTGTTCTCTCCTTCCTGGGGCACTCCGAAGAATCCTCATTCTTGCCACAAACACACAAGTCAGTGCTTGCTTTAAAAAATATATAACTGTAACCTGAAGACAAAGAAAAACCAAGAAGAAAAAATCTCAACATTGCCCTCCCCTATAGATGAGCCCTTGACAGCTTAGTCGATCTTCACAGCAGCGTAGATCTTCCGAATGAACATGTAAGCAGCATAAAATCCGATCGTCCCAGTCAGGAGCCAGAAGGAGAGCACCATTAGGGCTGTGTAGCCGAAGTACAGCAGGGAGGGGATGAACTCCACAATGTCCAGCTGCAAAAGCCACCAAAAGACACAAACCCGTCAACAGCCAAGCTCTCAGACTCCACTCACACTGACTCATCAGGCATCTTCACCGACCCCACCGTCGTCATCAGCCAACATCAGCAGCGTGACAAAACAACAAAGGAGGGAGCTACAGCTGTGACAACACGTATCAATGTGCGCATGCGTGACGTTTGAGAGCAGATGCGTTCACTTTACAGATAAGTACAGGTCACTTGTAATTATGAATGCGAACCGTAAAGACCTGAGCAAAAAAGTTGCAATCGAACAATGAGGCTTGTAA